TTGCCCTTCTTCCGTCCCCTCCCGGCGGTGACCTGCAGCCGAAGCAGGAGGCGAGGAGAGCGCGGCTCTCCCCTCGATTGACAAAGAGCATCCCCGGGGTGGGACTCAGAGAGAGAGAGAGAGAAGAAGAAAAAGGTCCTACTCACCCGTGCAAGGAGCGCGCCAGCTCGGGGAAAAGATGGGCTGCGCTCTCGCAGCTGCTCCTCTTCCTCCTTGCAATAGTAAATCCTCCCGCCTCGCCGGCACCCCCCTATTTGAAGCCGCCACGCACCCACGCCTTCCCACCCTGCCTCCCTCCCTGGCTCCTGCCCCTGCGCGCCCCCGAGACTCCCTGCCGGAGAGTCAGGCAAAGAAGGAGAGAGAGAGAGAGAACGCCTGCCGGTGCCCGGCCCACCTGCATGACGTCATGGGCGGGCTGTCAATCACCCGGCAGCCACCTGCTGTGAGCTCAGGCTGGTTGCAACCGCAGCTGCACCCGAGGGTGGAGAGGGAGGAGGGCGCAGGGGGTGCAGGGGAGGAAAGGCCCCCCATGCGAAGGAAGGGATGGAAGCGGAAAGGATCCAGCACCTTTTGTTCCAGAAGGATAAAGGTGGAATAGAGCTACTGTACAAACCTGGGTCTTGCCTCCCCCCTCTCCTTTTTCCAAAGCTGGTTTGGGATAAAAAGCAAAGAGGGCAAGGGATCCCTGAAACAGAGGACAGAGTTCTTGGGTTGTTAATACGTAGTTGTGTGGGAGAGGAAATGCCAGCAGGAGTGACTGGAGAGGAAAGCCATACCTGGTGATGTTTCCCCCTTGGGTGGAGCAATGACCCCTCCCTTCTCCTTCATGCAGACCTCCGAGCAGAAAGACCTCCGAAGTCTCAGATGAGGAAGGGCAGCAATGAAGGAATTAGAGAAGATCATCAAGTGTCACTGGACACCAAGACCAAGATCATCCACACTCTTATATTTCCAGTCACCATGTATGGGTTTGAACCCTGGAAAGCGTTCGAGAATACATTAAACGTCCAAAGTCTTTGTTACTTTGAGTTTGGTTTGTTGTTGTTGTTGTTTAGTCATTAAGTTGTGTCCGACTCTTTGTGACCCCATGGACCAGAGCACGCCAGGCCCTCCTGTCTTCCACTGCCTCCCGAAGTTGGGTCAAATTCATATTGGTTGCTTCGATGACACTGTCCATCGATCTCGTCCTCTGTCGTCCCCTTCTCCTCTTGCCTTCACACTTTCCCAACATCAAGGTCTTTTCTATGGAGTCTTCTCTTCTCATGAGATGGCCAAAGGATTGGAGCCTCAGCTTCAGGATCTGTCCTTCCAGCGAGCACTCATGATTTGGTTAGAGACCTCTTAATAACTACCTAACACATCAGACCCCTTCATGGATTGCATCAAAAGTTATCTCTAAAGAAGTTATGATTTACTCAGTCATTTAGTTATTGGGGTTAGGTTATTGTTTGGCTTTGTTATAGGTTTGTATCTTTTGTACACATGGTACACTGCTTGTGTGTTTTCCCCCCTTCCTAGGTTTGAGCCCACTCATACTCTTTTGCTCAGAGCAGTGGTTTCCAACCTTGAGCCCTCAGATGAGGAACGGCAGCAATGAAGGAATTAGAGAAGATCATCAAGTGTAAGGATATGTCACTGGACACCAAGACCAAGATCCAGTCACCACGTATGGGTTTGAACCCTGGAAAGCTGACAAGGAAAAAAACAGATTGGACTGCCCTGGACTGCCAGAAAGATGAACAAGGGGGTCCTAGATCAAATCAAGCCTGAACTCTCTCTGTTAAAACTGAGGCTGTCCTGCTTTGGGCACATCATGAAAAGACAGGGTTCTCTAGAGAAGATAATGATGTTGGGACACATGGAAGGCAGCTGGAAAAGAGGAAGACCCAATACGAGATGGACTGATTCTCTGAAAGAAACCACAGGTTTGAGTTTACAAGAGTTGAGCAGATCATCTGAAGACAGTACCCTATGAATGACCCCTATGCTCATTCATAGGGTCACCATGAGTCAGAAGCAACTTGATGGCACACAACAACAGCAACAATAGCAAAATTTAGACCCAGTTTTTTTTCCATATAATTTTGGTCACAGTACCCTATGAATGACCCCTATGCTCATTCATAGGGTCACCATGAGTCAGAAGCAACTTGATGGCGCACAACAGCAACAATAGGAAAATTTAGACCCAGTTTTTTTTCCACATAGTTTTGGTTCAATAGCATTTAAAAGCATCAGGGCATAGCAATCCATTTAAAAACAATTCGTACCTGTAATATGGAACAGGAACAGCAGCAATAATAAATTCAGGAGGAATTATTCAAAGCAGAGAAAAAGATAATGCAAATGTGCTTACATTTACACAAGCTTATCTCAGTGTAGATTTTTTTCTCCCTCCACATTCTCCCGTTGTTAAGAGCAGAGTACACTTGTCTCAGAATTACTCGGCATTCTTCAAAAATGCTTCCTTGGGTCCCATGGAACTTCTATTCATGGGGCAAGACTTTAATAACAGAAACCAAAATCTGACCCAAGGAATTTTCTTCTAAATAAATGTACATAGGATCAGGCTAAAGGTTGTCTGTTCCCGACCATGTCACTAAACTGCTTGAACAATGACCCAAATCAAAACAGGAGGTGTAATATTAATAAAGCCAGATGAATGGCTGCTTAAGATTCCTTCTCTCGCGTCATTTCAAAGCCACATCATTTCTGGAAGAGAACGTCTGCATGAGAAGAACGCTTTGATTTCTAAAGCTGTCAACATCTTTGCATCAGGCTTCTGCAAAAAGCTTCTCTATTCTTTATTATACTGACCTAGAACTGCCAAAACAGGGAGGAAAAAATGTGTGAAAAGTATAATGTACATCATAGAAGTAGGGGGAAATTCCATTTCATTGAGCAGTCTCAAAAACTGGCATTTTATCTCACGCTGACACCTCTGTAAACTGGCTTGTCACAGCTATACACTGGGGAACCTATGGAAGTCCAGGCTATGTAGGATGGAAGAGCCAGAAGGAGAGACACAGAAGTCAGACAATATCAAACTGAGGAACCATCTAGGAAACCATTCTGTTTCTAAGGACGCCAACCAAATACCTGTGGAAAACCTAAAACAAGCTATCAGTGCAATAGCACCTCCTCATTCCTGCTCCTTAGCTGCCGTTATTGTACAGTGCTGTGCTTCTAAACAGGATGGACCAGCCAGCTGCATGTCGTTGCTCTGGGGATGCTCGGGTACTCACAGAATAATGAACAAAATAAGGTAACACCGCACCCAATCCATTCACTTTGGGGACACCAACCCCCTAGAGTACTGGTCCCCAACCTTGGGCCTCCAGATGTTTTTGGACTTCAACTCCCAGAGATCCTGACCAACAGAAGTGATGGTGAACACTTATGAGAGTTGTAGTCCAAGAACATCTGGAGGCCCAAGGTTGGGGGACCACTGCCCTAGATGACAGCTAAAACCAGGGAAAAGTTTCCTGCACACATCTCAGGGTCAAAATATTAAACCAGAAGAGGCTAGGCGAAACCTACAGAAAACAAAACAAACACACCTTACCAAATGGATGAATGCTAAAGAGTGTTTCCCATCAGGACAAGATTCTAGCTGGACCATCTGAAAATCATTTAACAGACTTCAAAACGAAGTAGGAATATCAAAGAATAATCAAATAAAATGGGGGTATTTGGATATGGGACAAAAGTTCTGTGAATTTGGAGAAATTCAATCAATGCAGCATGTATGTGCATGCAGTTTACGCCCTACCGTGTGTACAAAACAAGATCTAGCAAATGGCAAAGATACAGTAATGCAATTAAAGTAGCCCACTTCTAGTCAAAAATAGTGTAATTATCTAAATATTTTAATTTTACCCATATTTCATATGCACCCATAATTTTAAATTGTGCAATGCTCTGAATATGAAAAAAGAAAAGCAAACTCCTGTTATTTGCAGGGGCATATATCTGATAAAGAAGGCTGACTGCCGAAGAATTGATGCTTCTGAATTGTTGTGCTGGAGGAGACTCTTGAGAGTTCCCTGGACTGCAAGGAGAACAAACCTATC